TTTACCCTAAACCTAATCTAACCTCCACCGCTACCTTATACTATCAGCAGTGTTTGATAGCTGCACTGATTTCATCATAATTTACACACTCTATGTCATTTAAGTTAAACTGAAGCAGCTTATGTCCTTTTTAACTAAGATACAATTGTCTGGATATTCTGACGGCTGGATAGTCATGGGAGCAGCACAGACTGGAAATGCATGTCAGTCACAATCGCAGATGCAGAAGTCTCTGTGGTCCCGGGAAATTAAAGATTCCAATGTGTAATTCGCTGCTCCTGGAACCTTCCAAAAGGGTTCATTAAAGGTGGAGAATTTGGCGGGTTCTCCTTCCATTAATTCATAGCTACCCAGGAAAATAACAGACAATTAAAATTGTGGCCTAACTTCTGGGTGACACCCCCTCAACAGCACCTCCTCCATCCTTACACCATCCATGGACCCCTGACATCCAGCATACCCTAACCAAACCGCCCTCCCCAACATGATGACAACATAAGCCATTATCCTATTGAATGGTGGAGCAGGCTCGAACAGTCTACTCCAGTTCCTACTTCTACAGCCTTAACTCCCCTGGATCGGACACCATGCCCCTGCTGCTGGCCTGAACCCCGAAACTCACCTTGGCTGGTCCAGATCTTGATGTGCCATCTCCAACACACCAGCTCCAAACCCCTCCACCCCACCCCCACCCCAAGGCTCTACTGGACCCAATACACTTCCCCTTGACCTTCCCTAAGCACTCCATCTCTTACTTGGCACTTTATCCATCTTGCACTAAGGCATTCTGCCCATCTGGCACCCTATTCCCTTAACCACCTGGCACCCTAGTTCCTTAACAACCTGGCACCCACCTTACACACTTACCCTTTCACAGCAGCAGTATCTGACCATGCTACTGGACATTGAAATCACAGAACGTGGCAGATTGACTGCTACACAAGGAGGAATAGTTTGACTTGCCATAACTATGCTGCTATATCAAAGAGCTGTTTTGTGTTCATTCCAAATTTCTGAATGAGCTGGAATCAGAATTCCTGGCTGGCAATATGGAATTCAGTGCTGATAGAAAAATCATAGGAATGGGGTGGCAACATGAGTGTGGATAGCTGATTGTATCTGGTGAACAAAGGCAACATTTCAAAGCCCACTACAGGAGCAGCAAGGAGATGGGGAGGGAGGGTTTAAGGTGGTCTGCTAGAAAAGTGCTGTGAGGGAAATTTATGCATTTCTCTGAATGTATCATCTCATTGCCCACCTACCACTGCCATTAGTTCAGACAGGAAATGGGCATACCTAATTTTGATAAGACTTGGTCCATTCCCATCATGCAGAGAAATTTTAATTTCTGGACTCAGGAAAGCTGAAAATGAATCAACGGGGCACCTCACGGAATTGTCAGAGGCTGTAAATTTAATCTGGGACTCCGTGTGTGTGTGAGGGGGATCACTAGCGCTCGCCTTGGAGCACTGCAACGACTCCAGATTCCTCTCCACCTCCATGTCTTGTAAGTCGATCTAGTGCTGACACTGCGTACCAAGACTTGTCCTGTCCCTTACCCATCATCTGGTTCTGACAACCGACCCCATTAGTTTTGGGCGGGAGAGACTATCCTGGATTAATCTAATTGTGATCTGGCAGTTTAACTAGTATGGGCTTCACAATGGAGTCCCCTGAAGGGGTTTCTCCTTCTCTTGTGTGTGAGCTTCCTCCTAGCATGTCAACTACTTCAAACTAACTCTTTAGTTACAGGACCCAGTTAAACAGCTTACCATATTTTGCCACAAGAGTCAAATTTTCCACAGATCAAGGCGTAATTCTATTTGTCACTGCCTGTACTTGAAGTTCTGAAATTTCCTGCCTAACAATCTCTCAACATAATCTCCTCACTCACACTACTCTTTAACAACTAGGTATTTCCAAATTAGTCTTTCAGAGATGTCACACATCTCTGGAGAAAGTGGAACTTGAACTTGAGTGTCCTGGCTCAGAGGTAGGGACACTACCACCAGATACCACCCTTTAACAGCTACACGTTTTGATTAAGATTTGGTTGCCTGTCCTAACATCTCATTATGTGTTTTGATGTCTAACTTTGTTTTGATAATGCTCCTGTGAAGTAACTTGCTGCATTAAGGAGGCTATGTAAATGCAAGTTATTGTTGTGCAGAGTTTAATTCAATTTCCCCATTGAATGCTGCACATCCAGACGATTAGACTGTGAATCACGTAATAATGTGAGTCGACTTGGCTCTAAGAGTTGGGGTTGGTAATAATATTGCTTCCAAATCACAAGGCAATAGAGTCATAGAGTCATACAGCATGGAAACAGACCCTTTGGTCTAACCAGTCCATGCTGACTATGTTCCTAAACTAAACTAGTCCTCTTGAGAAGGTGGTGGTGAGCTGCCTTCTTGAACTGCTGCAGCCCATGTGCTGTAGGTTTAAGAGGGGAAGGATTTAAAAGGGACCTAAGGGGCAACTTTTTAATGTCGAGGGTGGTATGTGTATGGAATGAGCTGCCAGAGGAAGTGGTGGAGGCTGGTAAAATTACAATGTATAAAAGGCATCTGGATGGATATATGAATAGGAAGGGTTTAAGGGAATAAGGGCGAAATGGGACTAGATTAATTTAGGATATTTGGTCAGCATGGACGAGTTGGACCAAAGGGTCTGTTTCCGTGCTGTACAATCCTTTGACTCTATGTGGACTGGCTGTGTTGTAATTCCATGTAAAATATAAACATAGATAGAGATTGTGAGAGGAAAAGTGACCAAGGTCCATCCAGTTTACCCCCTACTGCAATGGGAGTCATATCATGAATTGATAATGGGTTATTTTCTCATCACAGTAACCAATTATTTTACAAAACCATTTCACAAACGTTGTTCCTTGGTCTGTTTTTCAGTTTCTGTATATTTGTATGCATTTCTTGGCAAATTTTAATTTAATTGTTGATCAGTTCTGCAAAATTGCCTTTGATGCTTGCGTATGTGGGGAAGTGGAATGGGTGGATAGATATATCTTCATGTTTCTCTGTACATTTTTTCCTTTACAAACTGGAGCGATGCTTCTCACCCATGGTTAGGTCTGAATGTGTAGGGAATTCAGGAGATTCATCTTTACCCAGAGAATGGTGAGAATTTGGAACTCTCTGCTATATGGAGTAATTGGGGTGATGATGGATACATTTAAGGTGAAGCTGGATCAACACATGACTCTGACTAAGATTTCCCCCATCTCGAGACACAGGGGCAGGCAAGGTAAATACCTACAACTGTTTGCTGTGATTTGTTTCTGCTGAAACTGAAAGCAGAGGATTTAGCTTGAGAGGCACATTTCTGCATCAAGGTCAAAGGGGTCTTTCCTTCTCTCGCATCCTGCCATAGGCAGATCAGAAGGATTTGCAGGTTAGGCATCAACCTGTTTGGTATGTCAACTCCTGGAATTCAACTTGAACCCAAAAAGCTGCTGGCTCAGAGGTAGGAATGCTATCCACTGATCCATCAGACCTCCAACAGACATGAGGGAGATAGCAATAGAAGATTAGCCTCCCACATTCTACCATCGGTAAACTTGAGTCCATCAAAAATTGCTACAGGGCCAACGGCCCAGTGCTTAAAGACTCACCCTTCTGGAATTCTCTCTCTCTAAAACTCTCCTCCTGTCTATCTCACTTCCCTCCTTTAAGGTGCAATGGAAAACCTATTTCTTTGATTAAACTTCTGTGTATCCCCTCCAACATTTCTTTATGGGATCAGTGTCAAGTTCCTTTGTGGCATTTCTATGAAGCAACTGGGGACAATATAGCACGATAAGGGTGCTAAATAAATGCAATTTACTGTTGTTGCAAGATACATCAAAGCCCACACAGAAGATTCAGCTACTTATGATATGAATCTGTTTATTGAGCATTTTCAAAACACATCTTCATGCAATAATGGTGCTGTTGCACTTACAGCACCTTGTAAACCGTCTCATCATTTGCAATCTGATTCCTTTAAAGAGATGCAATGGAACACAATAAGAACATGGTTTGTGAATGCAGATCAAACACATGACAGTGCATTGAACAGAAGCAGAGATCTCCAATGGGATCTGCACACAATAAACACCTTGTGACAAACTAACAGAAATATCAAATGATGGGCCAGGATAAAAGGAGTTATTAAATATATCCTCAAACAAACACATTCATCCGTGCCAATCTTAACATTTGAATTTTTAAACATTAGCAATTACCAATAGGTAACACAAATGTGCAGCTTCTAGAACGTAACACTATAAAATCGAGAACAACTTGTAACTTTGGGCTATTGTTGAGCTGAATAGAGTATTAATAGGCTGTAAGATGATTGCAATAATATTCCACTGGACACTGGTGGCAAGATTGGCATTTGTTGTCCATGCCTAATTGCCCCTTGAGGATATTTAGGTGTCTACCACATTGCTGTGAAACTGGAGTCACGTGTCAACCAGTCAAGGAGAGCATATTCCTTCCCTAAATGGCATTAGTCAACAAGACAGTTTTGTGTAGCAATTGACGTTGGTTACTTCGTCATCATGAGACTAGCTTGCCCATTTAAACTCCAGATTTTAAAAAAATTGCATTGTGACATGGAGCCCATGTTTCCAAAGCATTAGCCGAACCCTGGGATTACTAGTCCAGTGACATTACCGCTATGCCACCATCATCACAGTTCAACAGACAGCACACAGCACGATGTTTCATATCATATTAATGACTGCATTGATTTGCAATTAGAAGTTATGCCCAAACCTACTCCCCCAAACAAACCATTCAGTTATGGTTACATGTGTAATCATTAATATATTAAAACTCTGCTCATCAACTCTATAGATCATTCCAAGCCCAAAACATTGCAAATCAGGATCGCACATCAGAAGTACTTGTCAAACTCTAAAAATAATCTACAATCACATTCTGAGTTGAGAAAAGAACAAGCACAGTTCACAGTGCACATTGTTATAAGCATCCTTATTTTGGGGGTAAAATATTCTTCGAGTTCCTGTACGAATCTATGATATTCAGAGGCACACCCCGCAGCAAGAGCTCTTGAAATGAAAAGCCACCTAAATGATATGAAAGCAGGATTATATTTTCCAAATGGACAAGACCAAATGTGACGCATACTTTATTCAGAATTGTCCACTGAATTATACTGAAATTGCAGCTCAAAAACAAGCCATTCAGCCCAACTGCTGTCTGCTGATGTTTATAAGGCCCCTCCAGATCCCTTCGTCATTGCACCCATCAGCAAATACTTTTATTGAATACTTTTCTTTCCAATTCTTAAATTTTCAATGGGGCTAGTTACAATTATTTTGTAATCAAACAGCGTTGTAACATTTTATTATTTTAAAACCCCACACAGATTTTTTTATACCTATTAAACTGGCCTCACCACTGTTTCACTAAACAGCATTTGGAATCTAATTGTGTATCAACCCAAGAGGACAGAGTTAAGATCTCTGTCTGTGCTCTCCACTTGTGGTCAACATTCTTAGATTTGATGGTGGGTCTGATGTATAAGGAGAGATTGACTAGGTCGCGATTGTTTTTGCTAGAGTTCAGACGAATGAGGGGAGATCTCATAGAGACTTATAAAATTCTAACAGGACTGGACAGGGTAGATGCAGGGAAGATGTTCCTGATGGTGGGTGTGTCCAGGACCAGGGGTCACAGTCTGAGGATTTGGGGTAGATCATTTAGGACAGAGCTGAGGAGACATTTCTTCACACGAAGAGTAGTGAGCCTGTGGAATTCATTACCACAGGAAGCAGTTGATGCCAAAACATTGAATGTATTCAAGAGGCAGCTAGATATAGCACTTGGGGTGAATGGGATCAAAGGTTATGGGGAGAAAGCAGGATTAGGCTGTGGATGATCAGCCATGATCACGAAGAATGACGGAGCAGGCTCGAAGGGCCGAATGGCTTCCTCCTGCTCCTATCTTCTATGTTTCTATGTTTCTAGGAGCCCATCCAAACAGCCATTTCGTGGCCAGAATCTTTAACTGCATCGTGACAGTTGATATAGCAACTTACAATGTAAATGTTAAAGTGATGTTTGATAGAAATGTTCAAACTCATGCAGGCTTCAGATAGAGGTTTTTATAAACTATTATTTCATAGGATGCTCATGTGTTGATGGTGAGGCTGACATTTGTAGCTTATTTCCTAATTCTTATTGAGAAGGTGGTGATGAGTTGTCTCCATAAACTGCTGAGTCCATCCAATCTGGGTATCCCCCACAGTGAGAGTGTAAATTGGGCCAAATAACCAGAAGGATACAGAATCAAACTAATATGCAAAAGAACCAGAAGGAAGAGGAGGATTTTTTTTATTCTAAGCATAAGAGTTGTTGTGAATCTGGAACACACATCTAATAGGGAAAAAGAAGGTACTACCAGCAGGGAATTGGATAAAGGTGAAAACCTATGGGGTTTTAAAAAAATTGCTTTCTCAAAGATCGATAATCTGAATGTTCAGCACTATCAATCCAGGATTTTATACAAATCTTGACCCATCATTGTGACCATAGGTTTATAAAGAAGTCTGCACCCTAACCAAGGTTTAAAACAGCATTTACACATAAGGAAAGACCATTCCAATAAATATGCAGAATAATATTTCTTTTGCTTTCCCATCTCTTTGAATGAGTTTAAACAAAGTATATTAAAAAAATCACCTTATGTCGAGGACAGTAAAACATCTGAAGCCAGCTCCTGCTGTTTGTATGTGGTTTCCATGAAGTAGTATGTAAATAGTTAAACTAAAAATGCTAATGATCAATATTAGTTACAATTAAATGTTAAAAGAATGATGCAGATGATGATATTACCGTTTCACCTTGCTCCATCATCAGACACTTCATTATCTGTCACTGTGAATGACTGGCCATACTCAGTCATGTAAAACCAATTTTCCTCTCAAGTGCACAGGTGCAGTTACCACTTATGCTACTGCTAAGTGCCAACTTGGCAACAGACTGGGCTACAAGTAGAGATGTGTGTCTCTGTGAGGGGCTCTTGGCTGGTACACACTTGATGTGACTATTCAGGTTGTCCATTGCAAGCAATGATTGTCACAGGGGGCAATAAACTTTAAAACTGGACTGTCAAGTCACCATTCTGAATGTTGGCATCTTGCACAAGTAACACATGATCTGTCATAGCAGCTCATTTTTAACAATGCTGCAATTGTTAATAAGATCGACCTGGAGATGACAGGAGCAGGCACTATCTTTACAAAATAAACATTTGACAATTTACTTTGGAATCTTCCCTTTGTAACAGCATTTTATTTCAAGGAAATAAACACTTGGAATCCCCAGCTCATCTTGACTCCCAAATGGGACCAGATCAATAGTTCTTTCAGAGAACTAGCATGGGTACAATGGGCCAAATGGTCTTGAGTTGTCTTCTATGATTCTATGAAATAATGAAAACCAAAAAAAATTGGCAAATCACTCCTCACAGAGGGGTCCTCCCTGAATGGTCACATTGCAAAATCAATTTTCCTTTTACAAATGTGACTGCTATCTTGGTCACAATGAAAAGGGAACATTATTTCCGGTGCCTACGCAACTTTTATATTTGACAATGGAAATTGGAGTCAGCACTGTTCTGCATCGAGGAGTTTAAGAACAGAAAGAGGCTATTCAGCCCCTCAAACCTGTTTGAGTATTCAATTAAATCATAGCTAATCTGCATCTTAACTCCATCCAACTCCACTTTTGGCTCCACATTACCAAACCAAAGTCTACATCTCAGGTTTTAATTGACAGATTTCTGAGGAGAGAGCCAAAATTCCACAGATGTGAAGAAATGCTTCTTGATAGCAACCCAGCTCGAATTTTAAGTTCTGTTCCTTTCTTTTAGACTCCCGTCCTGCACCCTCCTCATCCACCCACCAGTTTATATCAAATTATCATGAAACGGTAATTAAATCACGAGCCCACGCATCCTGTCCTCATCATTTAACCCTTTAAACTGGGCTATCATTTGATTCTTCCTGTGGTCCAGGGCCTAGACAGAAATTTGTTTTTTACTCTTTCAAGCAATGTGGGCATTGCTGGTAAATCCAACATTTACTGCCCACCCCTAATTTGCCCCTAAACTGAGTGTCCTGCTGGACCATTTCAGAGGGTAGTTAGGAGTCAACCACATTGCTGTGGGTCTGGAGTTATATGTAGGCCAGACCAGGTAAGGATAGCAGTTTCCTTCCCTAAAGTACATTAGTGAACCAGATGGGTTTTCCCAACAATGGATGACAGTTTCACAGTCACTATCACTGAGACTAGTTTTCCATTCTGGATGTTATGAATTGAATTTAAATCCCACTACGCTGGGATTTGAACCCATGTCTTCATACCAGTATCCTGGTGTTACTGGTCCAGTGACATTGCCCCGAAACTGTAAATTACTTGAGATGGGGTTTGATCAGAGATTTACACGAGTGAGGCATAACTTCCACCCCTATGTACACCTACTCTCTTGAGATGAAGGCTTTTAAAATTATCATAGAATCATAGAATCCCTACAGTGTGGAAACAGGCCCTTTGGCCCAACAGGTGCACACTGATTCTTGGAGCATCCCACCCAGACCCATCCCCCTATAACCCACCTAAGCTACACATCCCTGAACGCTACTGGTAATTTAGCATGGCCAATCCACCTAGCCTGCACATTTTTGGACTGTGGGAGGAAACCAGAGCACCCAGAGGAAACCCACGCAGACACGGGGAGAATGTGCAAACTCCACACAGACAGTTGCCCAAGGGTGGAATCGAACCTGGGTCCCTGGCGCTGTGAGGCAGCAGTGCTAACCATTGAGCCACCGTGCCGTAAAATTATCTTTAGTACCCATCCACTGTGTTTCAGCAATATTCACCTAGACTTAACATATTGCTCTCAAGGTTCCTTTTGGGAAAGTTGTGATGGACTTTACCCTGATTAGAGAAATGAATTTGGAATATTTGTGCTCAGTTTCATAGCAGGGTAGCAATCTCCACAGTTTAGCTTTGGCAACTGAGTAAACTCGTGCTTTTGAAAGTATTATCAATGACAGTGAAGGTATGTTTTTGGAAATCCCTAACAAACTACACCCAGCTCTGTGCAAATAGGAGGAAAATTGGGCTAAGTATGGTAATGAGGTCATTCATAAGCTTCATATGCTCTGGTCCATATGAAAGCTTACCTGGATGAACATATATAAATCATAAATCCTTACTGCGCAACTATAAGGAGAAAAGAGACAGGCAGTGAGACTTCTGTAGCATTGATAAGTCAGAACACACAACTGTGCAGGCATGATACTGCAGTTCTACTGTTAAACAGAGTAGCATGGATAATATAGGACAATTGATGAGACTTAAATAAAAACAAGCAGCAAGGAGAAAAGTCAACTGTGCAGGAGAGGCATGAACTCAGGCATTTAGTTAAGGGCTAAGCAGGGATGCTGGGTTAAAGCATGCAGCTGTAATTGAGGAAAGCACAGATAAGTTTAATTTGACAGTCAGCACTTATCAGTAAAGTCCAAATCTCTGAAAAGTTACTGTCAGGGGGTGTACATCGCAAAGAAGGGCTGGAATTATCTTTAAGGTTCAATTTTCTGCAATGAATGCTCCTTGAGGTTAACTTCAGGCCACAGAGAGAAGGTGCACTGTGGCCATTTGTCCCTGAGAAAGACTTGTCCTCCATAAGGGACAAAGTTCCTTATGCAAAGGACTGGGTTCAGAGATTTGTAATGCAACTGAGTCAATAATGGAATAACTCTACTTGCAGTCCCAGAGGGAATAGACTTTATGGCGCTGCAGCCCTATCGTCACTCCCAATGTAGGTCACAGACTGACAGGAAAATAGGAGTTGGGTGAATTGAAAAGGTTGGCCCCTATTTCCAAATATAAGTTCCCTTTAACAGTGGTGCAGCATTAGGAGAGCCGTTTCATAAAGGCATACACAATAAGAACACATAAAGTCCATCTGCTCCAGCTAACCTGTCCCCTACAGTTGTGAAACCTTGTAAACCATGATAGTGTACACTCATTAAACTGGTCCACGTAGGAGGAGACAAAAAAAAGGTAAAAATCTGGGCTAATCTGTGGTGTAAAGTCCTCCCTGGGCTTTCCCTGACATTGAAAACCAGTCCAGGAAGTAATTGTAATCCTGATTAGTATTAAAGATGCTCCCCCTCCTGTAATCAGAGATCATTTCCCCGGCCAGAAACAGGTCTAGCTTGCACTTGAAGGAACTCAGTGATTAAATGTTCACCACAGGAGACAGCTAGTGAAGGTAAGAGTCCTTGGGATGCGAGGAAATTTGGCAAACTGGATCCAGAATTGGCTGAGTGGCAGGAGGCGGGGGGTAAAGGTAGGAGGTTGCTTTTGTGACCAGATGCCAGTGTCCAATGGGATTCCACAGGGATCAGTGTTGGGGCCATTGCTGTTTGTGGTTTACAGAAACGATTTAGAGTTGAATGTAGGAAGGTTGATTAGTAAGTTTGTAAATGGTATGAAAATTGGTGGGGTGGCAAATATTGAGGAGGACAGCCTTAGATTACAGGAGGATATAGACTGGCTGGTCAGATGGGCTGATCAGTGGCAAATGGAAATCAATCCAGGTAAGAGTGAGGAGATGCACTTGGGCAGAACAAACAAGGCAAGGGAATACATGATGAATGGTAGAACCCTGAAAAGTACTGAGGATTGGGAGACCTTGGTGACCGTGTCCACTGGTCTCTTGATGTAGCGGGGCAAGTAGATAAAGTAGTTAAGAAGGCATATAGGATACTTGCCTTTATCAGTCAATGCATGGTGTTTAAGAGCAGGTTCTGTAGACATCCGTGACTCTATGAGAATCACTATTCTCTGTAGAGAGAATCAACTCCGAACAACTTGTCTCGATTTAGCCTTGTATAGTTCATATTGTGACCCACATGTCATCCCAATCTATTTAACTGGAACAGAACAGCTAACTCAAAACAGAAGCTCTTGTCTTTATCATCTTATAAACTTTTGCAATCCTGGGATTCTTTGCTTTAATCCTTCACAGATCAGATAGTATCTTAAAACACGCAGTTTGAAACTGATTATATAAATATTAATTAAACCTCTTTGCCTAGACTGAATTGGTGTGGTTACATAGAAACAAGGAGCAGGAATAGGCTATTCGGCCCTTTGAGCCTCTTCTGCCATTCAATCTGATCATTGCTGATTCTCTCTCTCAATGCCATCTTCCTGCGTTCTCCCTATACCCTTGATGCCTTTAATTTCTGAAAAAAAAAGCATTCATTTCTTTCATGAAGCAACTTGGCCTCCAGAATCTTCTGTGGTGGCGTTCTGAGGAAGGGTTACCGGACCCGGAACGTTAACTCTGATGTTTTCCTCACAGATGCTGCCAGACCTGCTGAGCTTTTCCAGCAACTTCTGTTTTTGTTCCTGATTTACAGCATCCGCAGTTCTTTTGGTGTTTATCTGTAGCCTGAGACTGTTTCCAGACTCCCCACCCAGGAGAAAAATCCTCTCTGTATCTAGTCTGTCCAGCCCTGTTAGAATGCTATACATTTCAATCAGATCCTCTTCATCCTTCTAAACACTAGTGACTACACGCCCAGTTGAACCAATATCTCCTCATGGGACAGTTTTTCTGGTTGCACTTGTTGGGGCTTGGGATCTTTCTGGTATTATTTTAACCAATCCTGGCCTGGGAACCATTAATCCTGAATTCATGACCAACAGATCTACTGTTGACACCAGTGTCCAAATGAGTAGTACTGTCAAGTTCCAACATTAGTGCAATCTAATAACAGGCTGCACATGTAAGAAGACAGCTTACACAAAATTAGACAGTGTTCTTCAGTTCTGTTACTTTTCCAGAGGGTTTAATACAGACACACACACGGTGGTTAGAATTCACTAGCGAATGGTACATTTGGAAGCACAATGAGTGTTAGACTGGAAACCAGGAGGACAGTCGAATGCACCTCACTTGTCATTCAGTTTTTCCACAATTTTATGTATCTCATTGCATGCCAACCAACTCAGTGTCATACTCATTTCTGAGCAAGTGTTGTCCTGCATGCTCTCTTATTGCATGCGGTACAGTGTCAGCGATGTCGCTGTCCAATAATATGTTGCAGGATCCATGCGATAACCGACCAAGAGTCCATCACATTCATAATGCATTGCAACCTCCGGCTTATTGTTTCCGAAAAACCCACACACATCGAGGGAGGCACTTCAGAACGCAATGCTCCACCAGAACAGTCTACAGATTCATTGCAATTAAATAATGCATTTCAAAACCTCTCTTCAGAAATATTCCTGTTTGTGCCTTTACCTTATCCACAGTGATGTTGGCAGATTGTTAAAGGACCAGATAGAGGAGGGTCCAAGATTCTCTATCTAATGGGCTAGTAGTATGGGACATTGGATCAAGATTAAGGACTCATTAGAAAGTCAAGTACATGACATTCCAAGACAGAAGTCTCTTGAACTAGCCTCCCTTTGAAATGTCACATTTCTGGGGGTGAAGGCTCCAAAATTCCCTCTCCCCTGTAAATAACCTGGCATAGATCATTCCATCATGAGGGCATGGAAGTCTCAAGTGACATTCAGTTCCTTCAACTTGTCAAATGATTCTTTATGCTGTTAATAACTAAACCACTAGCTTCATTAGACTTTGTGAAATCCTGACACAATACAAGTTGTGGGTCAGGTCTTTCCGTGAGACAAAACAAACACTTTTATTCTTTAAGGAGATGTGGACATTACTCACATCTGTTAGCCTTGAGCTGAGTGGCTTGCTCAGCCATTTGAGAGGGCATTGGAGACTCAATCACATTGCAGTGGGTCTGGAGTCACGCATAGCCAGAACAGGTAAGGATGACAGATTTCCTGCCCTGAAGAACATTGGTGAACCAGATAGGCTTTCTATGACAATCAGTGGCAGTTTTCTAAGACTAGCTTTCAATTCTAGATTTTATTCATTGAATTGTGGGAAGATTTGAATCCATGACCTCAGAGCACAATCTTGGCTGTCATTATAGGAATACACCATCCCCCCTTATTGAGTTCCTATGTGTGTGAAGGGGTTATGACATGACAGGGAGATGGCTTATCTTGATGGAGCCACTAAAAGAAATCTGAATGAAAATTATGGACTGAGTAGAGCAGAATTGGGAGAGGACTCGAGAAGAGTTCTCTTATTCAGGCTTTACTGAGCTCCCCAAGGTCAGTGCTCCCCACAGGGAAGCTGCAGATTACCATCACCGATTTAATGCCCACCATTTTCCTGATATCATTCAGTTATAAATTGTAGCCTCTTGTGATTTCACACTGTGAAAGAGAAAAAGGCAGCTGAAATAGTTCAATATTCTTTTGAAAGAGTGAGTGCTACAGGCAATAGCCAAACTCACGTCCAGATGACCTTACCTTTGACCTCCATCTTACATTCCACCTCATCCTCACCAAGGGCATTAACAGCTCTACAACTATACACACCACCATCAAATGGACTGGGTTTGCGAATCTCCAGAGTACACACTCCCTGGTTGGAGAACATTCGATATCGAGGGTCATTCTCAATTATTATCTTGTTCTTCATCCAACATATTTTAGGCTGATTGGGGAAACAGAAAGAATGATGTGTCAGTCACATTTTCAGATGAACAGGCACAAAGACCTGCCTGTATATTCCACAGGCTCACCTTGGGAGACAGGGCCAATGCAACGGCCAATCTGACCGTGAGCCACTTATTGATTGGTCAGAAAGAAAAGACAAACTTACATTTCTATCGCGCCTTTGACAACCTCCAAAGGCCCTAAAGCTCTTCACAGCCAATTAAGGTGTATTTGAAGTGCAGTCAGTGGTCCAATGTAGGAAATATGGCAGCCACATTGTGCACAGCAAGCTCTAACAAACAGCATTGTGTTAATGACCTGGATGGGGCTTGGATGTTGTGCTCAGTGGCTAAGAACATAAAAACCGGGAGCAGGAGTAGGCCATCGGGCTCTTCAAGCCTGCTCCGCCATTCAATAAGATCATGGCTGATCTTTTCATGGTCTCAGTTCCACTTACCCAACCTCTCACCATAATCCATATGTTCAAAAAATTATCTAGCTTAGCTTCGAAAACATATAATGAGGAAGCCTCAACCACTTCACTGGGCAGGGAATTCCACAGATTCACAACCCTTTGGGTGAAGAATTTCCTCCTTAATTCAGTCCCATATCTGCTCCCCCTAATTTTGAGGCTGTGCCCTCTTGTTCTAGTTTCACCTGCCAGTGGAAACAACCTCCCTATTTCTATCTTATCTATTCCCTTCATAATTTTATATGTTTCTATAAGATCCCCTCTCATTCTTCTAAATTCCAATGAATATAATCCGAGTCTACTCAGTCTCACCCAATACACCAACATTCTCAACTCTGGAATCAACCTCTTAAATCTCCTCTGCATCCCCTCCAGTGCCGGTACATCCTTTCTCAAGTAAGGAGACCAAAACTGCACACAGTACTCCAGGTGTGGCCTCACCAGCACCATATACAGCTGCAACATATCCTCCCTGCTTTTAAACCCAAGCTCTCTAGCATGAAGAACAAAATTCTATTTGCCTTCTTAATTACCTACTGCACCTACAAACCAACCTTCTGTGATTCATGCACAAGGACACCCAGGTCCCTCTGCACAGCACCATGCTGCGATATTTTACTGTTCAAATAATGGTCCTTTTTATTGTTATTCCTCCCAAAATGGATGACTTCACGTTTATCAACATTGTACCCCATCTGCCAGACCTTTGCCCAAAAGAACAGTGCACCCCGTTCACCTAACTGCTGACCACAGAGCTTCAATGGGTCATAATGTAAAACCTGTTGGCATCTGCTATCTCAGCTGGTGCTACCCCGTAAACAGGGCATCTGGAACCTGCATGAGCATGAGGAACAACAGCAAGACTGTACAAGCCATCATGAATCCACATGCAGAGTTTAAACCAGGAGGTATAAAAGAGATACAACAAGATAAATGAGAAATAAAGAAAGCAAGTTATGATTACTGGAGAAAGCTAAGAGCAACAAACTCTTTAAACAATCTTCTGAAGGAATGAGATTCCACAATTGTAAAGTGGGCACACATTGTAACTTCACACCATTGCTTATCTTTCAATGCTAGGTTCTGATGAGGTTCTGTTAAAGCAGAGACGGACAACAGGTTTTCATATTGGACTCTGCAAGGGTGTAGACAGGACATTGCTTTCAATTAATACTGCAAATAAAGTGAATGTTGACAGCTTTACTGTCAGTCTCAATGCCAAATCTGGACCTTAGTGTTACCTGTGGGAATGAATATTGTCCCAAAGATATAGGGGAGGTGGTATTTACCTCACAGTGAGTCTGGTAAAGTGAAAATCTTTATTCATAGCAAGTTAGGTGATGAAAATACTCCATCGCAGGAAACTTTTGTAAATCGTCATAATTGTTGAAAGCGAAGACAGAAGACACGCTTAATACTGAGCAAAGGTGAACCACATTAGACAACAGAATATAATATTAAAAATGCTTTTTCTCAGTGTGAAATGAGGAGGAATCTCCAGCAAAACATATGCATACCTTGGGGTTGCCTCTGACACTACAGTTCAAGGTTGCATTGTATCCAGCCACTGCTATGGTGTTGACCAGAGGATGGGTAAACTTTGGCACTTCCTCAAAGTCAAAGTCATTGTACTTGGGAGGCTTTAATATCAAACCTGCAAGAGATTACCATAGTTAGAACATCACACTATTGGATCTGCATTGCCTCAGGGTCAAAGAACAGTGACTTTCCAACAACTACAAAAACTTTAATAAAGATAGCTTTAATTAAACTGGCTGAAGGGCCTGTTCCTGTGCAGTGGTTATATGTTCTACGTAAGTTTTAAGGATCATCTTAAATAGAGAAAAGTGGGGTACACATAGGGAATTCCAGAGTTTAGGAGCCTAGGTAGCTGAAGGTAAATGGTGAGACAGTGAAAATTGGCAACGTACAAGAGCCCAGGATTGGAGTAGCACAGGGATCTCAAAGAACCTAGGAATCTGACCCCCCAAACCTGCTCCACAATTCAACTAGATCTTGGCTGATCTTCTACCTCAAACCATTTTCCCTGCAAAATCCCCATATTCCTTAACATTTTTTGAAATTTAGACATCTAGAGATCTGTATCTCGAACATGTTCACTGATAAATGATAGCGCTCAACATGGGGTTTGAACCCACAACATTAAGGTTAAAAGTCCACCAACTGAAACTATTGGGGTGTAAATTCCAAATGTTGTCACAATAGGATTTAAACCTATACCCAGAGGCATTTGCCTGGACTTTTGGAATGCCTAGCCAGTGGCATTCCCATTACAGCACTATCTTCCCCAAGGAAGGTGTAGGGAGAGACTAGATGGCAGAGGTAGGGAGGTGTGACATCAAGGAGAGTCTTGGGAAAAAAATGTTGAGAATTGTGAAAAGGAAGTTCTGCTCAAACAGGAGCCAAGGCGAGGTCAGTGAATACTAACAGGTGATGGGTGAGTGGGGCTCGGTAGGGATTAGAAAAAGACAAACATGTTTTGGAGGTGATTACAGAGGGTGGAACGTGGGTTAACAGTGCTGGAGAGTGTTTAAATGGCCAAGTCTCAAAGCATTAAGATCAAAACACCGCAGATCTGTAAATCTGAAAGTATAACCAAAGGTACTAGAGAAACTCAGCAGGTCTGGTAGCACCCCCAGAGAGACAGAAACAGAGTTATGTTTTGAGTCCAGTATGACTCTTCTTCAGAACTAAAAGGGGTTGGAAAATGTCTTCTAATATACTTTATACAGAAGCAAAGGAGGAGTGAAGGGAACAGTTTCTGAAAAGTCCAGTATAAAGGACAGTGGGGTTGTTAATGATGGTGGCAGAGAAAAAGAGATGTAAAGTGGGTTTAAATTAAGGTGTGAAAGGGAGAAAATCGAGAAAATAAGAGCAAAGTAAACTAGACACAAATATGACAAGAGATAGTAGGAACTGCAGATGCTGGAGAATCCGAGACAACAAGGTGCAGGGCTGGATGAACACAGCAGGCCAAGCAGCATCAGAGGAGCAGAGAGGCTGACGTTTCGGGCCC